TTTTGAAAAACTTCATATATGTCTTGCTAATCAGCAGTGGAATACCTATTATAATTTCTCTCAAGTTCAGCATCTATCCAGAACCGGATCGGATCATAGTCCTCTCCTTTTATCTTTTTATTATTTTAAAAAGTCCTCTACCTACCACTTTCCTTTTTTAAATGGTTGGGCTAGACATGATGATTTCTTGAGACTTATTGCGGCAAACTGGAAATGTGAGGAGATGGGAAATGCTTGGTATATTCTTTGGAAATTACACAAGAGGGTGGCTGCTGCTTTAAGATCTTGGAACTGAGAGGTTTTTGGTGATGTTCATGCTAGAGTTAAAAAAGCAGAACAAAGGGTCAATATTCTTCAAGCTCTTGATGAAAACACCACTGATATCATTCAGGATTTACAGGATGCTAATAAAGAGCTGCTTGAGACCTCTCTTTGGGAGGAGTTGCTTCAACAAAAAACGGGGGAGACTCATTTTACCCAGGGTGATAGAAACACTAAATATTTTCATGCTTGTATCAAACAAAGAAGAGCTAATAACATCATTGTGAGAATTAAAAACAATGACGGGCATTGGATTACTGCAGATGAGGAATTTAGGGAGAATGTTCTGCTTCACTTTTCTAAACTCTTTGAGGTCCATGAGACTTCCGGTTACATTGATGCCTCATTGTTTGACGAGGTTTGACATCATATGCTACATATTGACCTTTGTGAAATCCCTACGACTGAGGAGATTTATTCCACCCTCCTTGAGATTAATTGTAATAAAGCTACGGTGCCTGATGGCTTTACTTCTGCTTTTTATATCAAATGTTGGAGCATTGTTAAAGATCATGTTGTGGCGGCTATACAAAGTTTCTTTAACGGGGAAACCCTTGGAAATTACTTCTTGGCTGCTACCATTGTCATCATCCCTAAGAACGCTCAAAAGAGCTCTTGGGATCATTTCAAGTCTATTTCTCTAACTTCTGTTATTTCTAAGTTGATTAGTAAGACTTTGGTCAAACGTCTTCAACCTCACAAGTTAATCTCTTTGAATCAACCTGCTTTTGTTCAGGGGAGGGGGATTGCCGATAATATTAGCTGGCTCAGGAACTCATTCTTGATATTGATAAAAGTGTAGAGGGCGTAACATGATTACTAAACTGGACATTCGTAAGGCCTATGATTCGATTAGCTGGGATTTCATTTTGAAGATTCTTCATGCTCATGGCTTTTCTCAAGAGTTTTGTAAAATTATAAATTTCTGGCTCCATTGTAATAAATATAGCATTCTCATTAATGGCAAATCGCGGGGCTTTTTTAGTGCGGGCTGAGGGATTAAGCAGGGAGATCCTTTATCCCCTACCATATTTATCTTAATTTTTTAATATCTCTCCCGTCTTCTTAACAATTTTTTAAGGAGAAACCCTAAGTTGCAATATGCTCGTAAATCCAATATGTTGGTCTCTCACTTAGCTTATGCTGATGATATGATCCTCTTTTCTAATGCTAGCAAGAATTCGGTTAAGGAAATACATAATGTCATGGTTGATTTTCAATTGGTTTCGGGCCTCTCCTTCAATGCTAGTAAATGCAATATTTTTTTGGGGAAAATGATTAATCGTTCTAATGCTTTTTGGATAGCTAATTTTACGGGCTTCTCCTTCTCTACTCTTCCACTTAAATATCTGGGGGTGTTCATCCTTAAGGGCAGGAAGAGACGTATACAGTTTGATGAGGTTGTGTAGAAGATTCGGAAAAGAATCTTGGATTGGAAAAATAATTTCCTTTCCTTTGGGGTCCGCATTACTCTATTAAAAAACATACTTCATTCTCTTCCTTTATATATTCTCTAAGTTCTCCAACCCAAAAAGAGCACTATTATGACTCTTGAAAGATGTTTCAATAAGTTCTTATGGGTAGGAAATCATTCTGGTAGAAGATAGTTACCTTGGAAGGATGTTTGTAAACCCAGAAGTGCCGGTGATTTGGGTTTCAAATCTCTGCATCATATGACTGATATTAATGTTTTCAAGCAATGGTTTAATTTCAGGAAAAATGAGTTGTTATGGGCCAACTTTATGCATGGAAAGTATCGTCGTTTCTCTCATCCTGCTGTGATAAATTGGTGACTGGTTAATTCCACAATGTGGAAGAGAATGCTTCATGTTAGAGATTGAGCGAGGAACTTCATTTATTGGGAGGTGGGGGGAGGTAACTTAGTCTCATGCTTTGCTGAATATGAGGGATACACGGTTCTCTAATCTCAAAGTTTCGGATGTTTGGGTTGATGGTCATTGGAACCTCCCTCTTCTCACTAGCATTTTGGGTTTGGAGGGAGCTAATTTCATTTCCACAATACCTTTTGACCCTTTTTTGCATGATACTCCTTATTTGAAATAACTCATGACAAAATCTATTACTAAATCTTTATATGCTTCTCGTTATAATTTTCAAAACACCCCTTGGGGGGAAGGGGTGTGGACTTGGGCTTTAACCCCGTCAATGTCTTTCTTGGCCTGGCGTATTTTTCACTCTATCATTCCTTGTGATGATATCCTTAAGATGAAAGATTTGAGAATTGACTCCAGGTGCTGTTTGTGTTTGATGGCGGAGTAGACCATTGAACAGATATTTTTCTCCTGCCCCTTTGCTTTATTTATTTGGAGAAGAGTTGGTATGTGGTTTGGTACTATTGTTTCTCCTGAGAGGAATCTTCTTCTCACCACTTTGTGTTGCAATCCAGGTGGTAAGAAGAAACATTTTTGGCAAGTATACTCTTATATCATTTGTTGGTTTATCTGGATGACTCAGAATAATATTATTCATGAGGGCAAAAATATTCAAAAAATGATGGTTTTCACTAATATAATCTCTTACATCAATAAGTTATGGATACTTGAAAATTTCAAAAAGGTTTATTTTCGGGCATTAATTATTTTTTGGCTTTGAGGCATATGAATGTGGCGGTCAGGATAATCTCGCACGGTCCTATCTTGGTCAAATGGAATACACCCCCTAGAGGGTAGATTAAATTTAATATGGATGGGAGTTGGAAGGGGCCTAATGCTGGGTGTGGGGGCATTGCTAGGAATCACTATGGAAAGTGTATACTCTTCTTCTCTACCCCTTCTATGGCGGATTCCCCTGTTGAGGCTGAGGCTCGAGCTATTTTATCTGTTATTTTATTGGTTTATTCTCTCAATTGGAAGTATATTATTTTGATTGATATATTTACTAATGGTGCCGACACCAATATTCTTTACTATATTAGGAGGATTAAAGGATTAATTTCTAATATGAATGTCGTTTGGAATTTCATCTACCGGGAGGGTAATCAACCCGCAAATTGACTTGCTAATTTGGGGTGTGCTAGTCGTATATGTAGGGTGGGAGTAACCTCCCCCCTCTCTCTATACTCTGATGTTTGGGGATAATATTGATACCCCTTATATTCGTACTAATGTCTCATCTTGATGTGTGTTGGGTGGTCGAGTGGCTTGGATCGGCCTAAACGTTATTCTGGCTGGAAGTTTCTTGCGTTTATTCTTTTTTGGGAAATTTGGAGTTGAGGGAGTATGGGATTATGACTACTTATATTTTTGATTTATGTGATGTCCGACCTCTTATCTTTGGCATGGAGGTCCAAGAATCCTTCGATTTTTCTGCTGAGATTTATTTGAGAGGCCCACGGCTCCCTATTTGTTGGTGGTTGAATTTATGGAGATGGAGGGTTTCTCGGTTTAAGGGCCCGGAGGTTATGCTGGGTGGTTTTGCTTTTGGGATGTATCATATTGGCTTGCCTTATTTTTAGCATGGAGGCCCAGGGCTCCTTTGCTACTTTGGTGGTGGTGGTTTGGAGGTGCTATATTGGAAGTAGGGCTCTTGGGATATAGTGTATGGGCTAGTTTCACGGGTAAGAAGGAAGGTTGGAGGCTTGAAGAGTTGCTCTTTTTTCATCTGGGTATTATTTATGACCATGTTATTTCCTATTTGGAGGCCCATGGCTCCAATTTCTCTCTGTCTCTCCATACTTGAGGTGGTTTTATTAGGTCCGTTTGGACTGGCATTGCTGATTGGGAGGTTGAAGGAATGAGGATCATCTTTTCCTTTCTTAACACTTGGAATTTCTATTTTTCTACTGTTTCCTCAGTTCTTTTTGAGTTGCAGGATACAGATGCCTTGGTCAGGTTGCGGCTTCCTGGTTTCGAGATGTTGCTGTTTGCCATATAGATTCTTGTTTTTTTGTTTCTTTTGATATACATGTTCATTGAGGGTATACATCATTTTTGTGGGTATACGTTTTGGTTTGATACATGTATATTTAAGTTAGCTTTAATCTCCTTTCTGTTCTTTTATCTTATTGGGTGGAGTTGTACTGTGGAAAATTGAACCCCTAGGGCTTTATGTGTTGTTTTGTTTTTTAGCGGGGATCCAGTTTTTCCACTAAACCTTTGTAATTCTTCTTTTGATATTAACGCGTAAGGAGCCACGAGCCGC